AGGGGGGGGGGGGGTGAGATAAAAAGATTCAAACTTTTGATTGGATAAGAGTTGAAAACAGATCGGTGACGATACCATCCTTTGGCTTCTTCACAAATTCCCCGTCAAGAAACAGTACAAAGTCAGGCTCGTTCCCCTGAGTTCTTCTGGATCTATTTATCCCGAAAGCTCAGGCCTCATCTGAAACATCAAACCTTAACCCACGATAAATAACCTGCATCCTGTGCCGAGATCCCCTATCTGTAAGAAACGATGTGCCCGTTACACTTATAAGAAAACAGATTAAAAAAAAAAAGTTTAATGCAAAATCTCCCAAATTGTGTGAATTGAAGAATCTTTCTGCAGGAATTGCCTCAAAGACTTTCAATTCAAGCACTTGACCTATAGAAGACCTAAGCACTTCAAAACTTTTAAAACACCACAGTTAGATATTTTGCTTATGTTGCAAACTTTATAACCTTTAGGTTCAAGATTTTAAACGTTAAACATGCGGATTTCTTAGACAAAAATTTGAGTAAATGAATCATGAATCATGATATCGTGCAAGCCTCGAAGCCACGTGGTTTTCGGGACTCTATCATCAGATTGACGAAATGGAGATGATTAGGCACCATGGTTTACCTCATTCCCGATAAAGCACAAGCCAAATCTCATCTCGGGGAGGTCCAACCTCCTCAGTAATCTGGAAAGCAAATTGAATAATTCACAGAAAAGTAAAACCAAGTTTTACAAAATATTCAAAATGATGGATTTCACCCAAAAAGAAAAAGAAGAAAGTCGAGAGACGGGTGAACTTACGACATTGACATTCCCAGAATGTGCGCGTAAGCAATCGTTTCTTTCCAAATCAAAGCAACTTGATGATAACAACAGTTCCTTTCCACAGATTATCAGCATGATTATAACATGTTAAGATCAAGAACCGTATGTTTCTCCCACAAACTGATCTAATAATCCAACAAACACAGCATCTGATCCACCTTACTATAATTTGCATCCAATTCAATAAACTCGGTTTCCAAATCCAGACATGAAGACTATCATATAGGCAAATCCCATTACCCACTTTTCAGCTCAACTAACTAATAGTTTGGATCTCCAGACCACAACATAGCCAAGACGTTGTACGGACGCAAATGCCTATATAAGGGCATACAAGGTGCAGCTAAATTTGGATTTCCAGACAATAATCTCTTCTGAAATATCTTACACAACACACATGAACGGGTATATTATGCACATACGTAAGCGAAGCAAAGCCAGAAATCTTACAGTCTGCTGCTTTTGTAGCTTCGTCCCTTGTTGTCGCAGAGAGACCAGAATTGTTTCGCCGGCGATTCCTTGGCATCCGACGCCCATTTCATTGAACTGATGAAATTTCTGCAAAATCGGACAGACCCATTACGTTAAACGAAGAAACTCGATCGATTAAACGGTTCCCTACAAATGGGTTTCATTATCTGCGCTGAAAATGTAAACCTTTACCTTCTGGGTTCTGCTGTAGAAGCAGGCGACGAGGAAAATTCAGAAGAACAGGGATTCCCGAGACGGATACGAGGTATCAAGAAAACTAATCAAAACCTAAAGATCGAATCTGTATTAGATATAAAAGTAATTGAAAAATCAAAATTTTCAAGAATATTTTTGTCGATAAGAAGACAAATTCAAATAAAAATCAAACCAAGCTGAACCAAACCAAATTAATATAAAAAATGGGTGGATATAATTTTCAAGTATACCATATGAGGGCGCGTTTGATCTTCACGTGTTACGGGTTTGGGTTTTTGTGTATTTCGCCCAGGCTTTTAATTGGGCCTTATGGGGTTTCAGGCCCAACAATGGGATTTTCATAACCCAATAACACATTGTTCGTTATTGGGCCTCTGGGTCTGGCATATGATATTGAATATTTTTCATTGGAAAAAAAATGTTTAGAAATCGATTAAATTGTTATTTTTTTATTATTTTTTTTAGGTTTTGGGACGAGAAACATCTATTTGGTTTAGGGAACAAACAAATTTTTTAAAAAATTCACAATTTTAACAAATCGATGAGATTTGGGTATTTTGAGTTGAGATTCTAAAATTAAAATTTAGCAAAATATTTTATGAAATATATCCAAGTTGCTAAAAATTCCTTTTATGTACAACTAGTTTATTTGAGAATCAGACAGCTAGACCTTTTTTTGTCTTCACAAATTGGGCCTACTTCGCGTTTGCACATGTAACAAAGATTCCTTTTATGGAGTGTATATATAGCTCCATATATATATATGTGTGTGTGTATGTGTGTGTATATATGGAGATAATTATAAAGGGATCGACAAAAGTAAGAATAATACATATATATTATGTTCTTGCAGCAGTGTATGGATGACAACTCTACGACTTTTATCATATTTGGAAAATTACTGTAAGAAACTAAACAAACAAACTATTATCATAGTTTCAAGTTAGACTTTGAATATAAAAATGGCTGATTTGGACGGTATTTGTTTGGAACTTTGGTTACATATCTCACATTATTACTCGTTTTCGATATATATATATATATATATATATATATATCACAACGCCATGCATGTGATCATTTTCTTGATCAGACACGCATGCTTGAATGTTTATATATAAACACAGATATATTTGTAAAACGTATATATATGCGATGAAAAGTGCATATATCGATTTGGAAAAAAGACAAGAAATGAATGTTGGAATAGGAGACCGACAGCGCCGGACCAGCCCGCATTCTGCGGGTGCACGAACTGTAACCATCACATTAAATTTATATTGCTGATTGCCAACGACATGTATGTCCCATTCCAAAATCTTTTTTGTTTATCATGTTATTATTAGAAACATCAAATATCTATGCACCCGAATGTCTAGTCTCATCACCTCATATATATACATAGCATACGCATGCCTGTCATTATATGTGTATATATATATATGTATGTATATGATGAGACTAAACACTATATTATCAAAAACATTGGCATTTGCACGTATAGTCTCATCACTATACATATTATATATACACACGTGAAATAAGTGTGTGTTACTGTGATTTTTTATTACGGATTATATTAGCATCTAGTCAAAATTGATGTATTCGCACATATATATATATATATATATGATGAGACCAAGCATCACATACGTTTGCATTTGCATGTATAGTCTCATCTGTACTTATACACATATATGTGAAATCAGTGTGTACTAGTGTGATTTTTTATTTGTATATATACGTTCCCTGTACATACATACACACACACACACACATATATATATATATATATATGCATACTTTTGTAGTGATGTTGCGTAATGTAGTAAGATTATGTAACAATAATACAAAGAACAGTTGCATCAAATAAAGGCCGAAGAGGATAAATGTTATTTGTTTAATACACTTTTTTTTTTTAAAATACCGGAATTTGCATTAAGTGTTTTGCAGACTAAACATTATAGTAGAATAACTTATTGAAGCAGAGATATAACATGCCTCCAAACCAAAACCTATAAAAAAAAATCAGAATATACACTCTTAGGCGTGTAACATTTCAACATATCATAATCGTAAATCTCAAGATTAAGACATTGTTTAGTATATATAGACCAAATAATGGTGTTTCTATTAGATAGAAAACGTGTATACCTGCTTGAAAACGTACAAGTTTTTTTATTTTATTTTTAATTTCGATCATTTCAAATTTACAATGGGTATATCATGAAATATCGATAACAACAAACAAAAATAGCATAGCCTATATATGTATACCTCTAACGAAAGCCTGTGTCCATATTCAATGTGCCCGTGTTCTTCAATGCAATTCTTACCGCGTCTCGTACATCGAAATTATGAAAAAGTTGGTAGAATGGAGAGTATATATACAGCATGCTTTTTTCGATCCCAATGCCCGCCACGTGGTCGTACGCCATGATTGATCATTCATTAGGCTTCATATGTACCATCGAGACATATATAGAAATGCCGACACAGTAGACTCACATTAGTTTGTCCGGCTACAATGCATAGGATCTTATCGACTTGTGATCGTAGTAGATGAATCCCAATTGAGAATGGTTTTCTATTGTTATGTAAATTTTGGAAGCATGAGTTCAAAAATGGAAACGTTTACATCATTTTTTTTTTCATTTTCTGTAAAAATACAACTTCTTCCCACGTGCCCACATTACCAAAAAATAATCAAGAACTGTTGTATGATAATCACTCAACAAATTTAACTCGCAAATTGTCTGATTCATACTAAACGAGGGAATCAATTCAATCATCCGCCAAATTCAGTGGGAGATGGGGTTAACCATGCATATATATATATATATATATATATATATATATGATTGCTTTCTTTCATGGAATCAAACCGATCGTTTAATGTTCTTTGAAAATAACATCGAGTTGCAATCATTAGGGGGTAATTGTGTTATTAGGGTTTTTCGAGTGATGAACACATATAGAGCTCGTAAAATAGAAAGGTACAAAGGGAATTTGAGCTAATTAAGAACAATTTAGTGACAAGAAAAGAGAAGAAAGTGAAAGATTGAAATTTCATGGAAAGTGCAAAGACACATGAAAACCTACTCACCCACATGCTTTGGTCTCCCCAAATTTACTTCCCCTAATCGGTACTCCACACTCTATATCATCCCTCTATTTCTTATCTCTTTACACCACTCCTCCTATTAGCGCACATGCCCGTATATCTACATATACACACACACACGAACCAAACCCTACAACCCATTTTCAAAAGAAGGAAACTTTGTTCAATATGGCTTATAACAAGCAAAGAAACGTCACTAAGTCGTCGAAGAGGAAGATCAATGGGATTGTGAAGCTCAAGAATGTTCTAGAGAGGCTGGTGCAGAAGAGCTTGTTACTAACACAAAAACAAGAGCATGAGGACGGGGTGGTTCGCGGTTACGTGCCACGAGATGTGAAGGAAGGGCATTTCGCAGTGATTGCGGTCGATGAGTACGAGCCAAGGCAGAGATTCGTTGTCCCGCTGGCGTTTCTAGAGAATCCGGTGTTCTTGAGGCTTCTGGAACAGGCTGCTGAAGAGTATGGTTTCGATCACAATGGAGCTCTCATGGTGCCTTGTCGACCAAGCGAGCTCCGGATGATCTTGTCCGAGCAATGACAGGTTCACGAAAGGACATGGACATGGATATGGATCGATGTTTGAAAGTGCCGATGATCATGTTAATATGATATTCATCGTACAGAGAGTATCATTTTGCTGAAATGTCAAATTATGTTTGGACTATATTCACTAGTCAATTAAGGATGTAATCAATAGTTAATTAAACTGTCTTTTATAATTAAATCAATAAAATATCTTGCATATGTTTATTGCACTACTACAACTTCGTTTTTCTTTATATATATATATAAAATCTAGGAAGCTATGGACGACCAAATGACAAGAAATGATTAATTTGGGTTTGGGAGGAAACAAACGGACGAGCAACTAGGAGCTAAGAGCTCGAAACATTGCTAATAAAACATTCTTTTATTTTTGTAGCTCGTAGTTTTACATTGATGAGCTTGAATAATAAACTGCTGATGTGGAAAGATGTGACACGTCATCAGCGGATATTTATGTTTGACAAGTTGCATATAGATATTTATTTTCCAATGTATACGTACGTACAGCATGCGTACTGTACACACTCGATTTCGCAATGCAACCAGGACGATGTACATGGATCCGTACTAATCTATAAAAAATTATCATCGGAATATTGATAATATAATGAAAAATAAAAATATATCAGTTTGATTTTGCACATGATTCGCACAAAAGGTTAACGTTAGTAATTTTATGGTGACACTGATAATATTGATGGCCGTGACACTAATAATATTGAGACTTAATTATGAATTTCATTTCACAATTTAAGATTAGTAGGTGAAGTCAATCCAAAATTAGGGCAAAAGAGCATTCATTGCTTACACATGTACGTATAAGTACTTAGGGTTTCCAGAACATGCAGCTGGCATTTCTTTTAGAGATCTGTACATATTGGTACTTTTGTTGGGGGAAACACACACACACACAAGTGGACACTACGTCACGTTTAACACCGAGATAACAATAATTTCTCATCAAATGGTTATATAAATTCTTATTTGTGACGAGATTTTAATATCCAAATCTAGATTATGTTATGGAAATCTTTCAATATCGAAAAAAAACTGGAGCAAGATAGAGATATCTAAGATGAAAATTTTCAAAACGTAATGAATTTAGTAACCCAAAATCGGTTAGGCAAAAGAAATATTGGGGTATTCAAATCTGTGAGAGAAAGAAAGAATACGAAAAAGGGCATTGTGTGATGGTCCACGGAAAAAGTTCCAATTTTGACTAGCTATGCGTATGTTACGTCCCTCTTTATCCAGCTCATATAGTTCCAAACTGAACATGCCCTAGATAACACAAGCGGCGACATGCATACGTCAATCTGTATGTATGTAGTGAGTGTGTGTGTGTGTGTATGTATGTATGTATGTATGTATGCATATACGCGCACATGTAACTGAAAGATCCATAAACTTAAAGATCCATAAATATCTCTTGTCTACTACAAACGAAATGAATATTGTATAATCTTATCCGCAAAAGTTAACGCGAGCACAAATTTAGATACATGATACATAAAAAAAAATTTTTTTTTTTTTTTTTTTTTTTTTTTTGGTAATCAACCCTAGTAACAAAGTTGAAAGAAAGTTCACGATATGCATCAAGATTATCACATAATCAAAGTTTTCATTTAGACTGAATTTCATGTTTTAAATTGAAGTGTCGAGTTTGGATTCTAGTGAGAGTGATATCGATCAATCTCTATGCAACCAAAGAAAAAATTATATTTGCATTTCATCCTTACAAGTTTTAAACAAGAATACATATATACACACACAGTTGCACTATCAATATTTATCCAATGTTTATTCCCAACGAGCCGTAAGCTGCATATCACGATCGAGATCCGTCTAAGTGATTTACACAAAAGATCTTACCGTTAGGAAATGTAGTTTTCATCGTATATGTCGTGTAACAAAATGATTATCACGGCACCGAAGAGTCATTCAAGTCCTGTAGTTGTCTCCGGTCGTAAAAGCGGACAACAATAAATGACGACAATACTATCTGTTATCCCCACAATTATTTAAAAGCTTGGTCGTCCTTTTTTTTTGGGTTCTTTCCAAACTCCATTTTTTTGGGACCACTAACTAAACTCTAGAGTTCCCATATCTTCTTCTTTGCAAAATTCGATCAAATATACCTAAAGTGGTCTAAGATCAATATATAGTAAAAACCCTCGGGACATTGTCGGAATCAATTGTGTATCCATGTGAAATAAATTTTTATATCAAACTATATATTTTAATCCTCAAACATTCAAAAACTTGTATTTTAGACTTTTTTTTACTTCACATTTTACAAAATGTTGGCCCATTAGACGTTTTTATTACACTCACCATCGTCGAAGTTGTTAAACTACCATCTTAGTAATTTCAACAACAATATATATATATATATATATATATATATATTATATACATTCCTATTATCCTTATTTGCCGAAAAAAAAATAAAATAAGAAATCACATTAGGATCAGCAAAATCCTAGAGGACTATAGAAGCCGACGAAATCTTCAACAACAGCATCGCCATTGCTCGGCCAACAGGCTCTCGATCTCGAACGGCCAACAAGGGATCTCCAACGCACCTTCGTGACAAAACCCATATTCCTCGGCCGCTTGTTCTAGAAGCCGGACGAAGGTAGGGTGCGAAAGATAGTTCAAAGGCACCATGAACTTCGTAGGTTCTTCTCCAATGGCCGCCACGACCGAGAAATGTCCCTCCTTCACGCCTTTGGACACGTCAGCTTCTTCACACTCGTAGAGGTGTGGATTCTTGGATCTCTTCGCTTGTGAGAGCAACCGCTTCTGCAAACTCCTCAAAACCGCGATGAATTTCCCGGCCATAATTAACGTTCTTGATGCTTTCTGCTGTTTTGGATCACGATAAGATATTTTCTTTCTTTTTTTGTGTGTGTTTGTTGTGGGTTTTAAGGAAAGTGTGTGTTGGTTTATAAAGGGCATGAGGGCAAAGAGCGATAAGATCAAGATGGAGGGGGAGATGGACGTCCGATTATGAATCCATGATGATATGATCATATCCATGTGGGCCGGACTTGCTAAATCATACAGACGATCGATGAGGGCAATGAAATGTCACTTATGTATTGTGGGCTCTATGGTTATCAAATTTATGCAAACATTTAATAATTACAACGCGGGTTAGTCTTTGAATTTAGATTCTCTAGCCAAAATCTTTCACAGGAGCCAATTTAGTGATTCACTGACACGACATGACGTGGAAATGCGTGAGGGCCAAATTACACTTTTGATATCCCGTCTCTATACGTTGAATCGGTCAGATTTGTACAGTTCTGCAATCCGGTGTTCTTGTCATCTCACAGTAATATATATATATATATATATATATATATATATATATGTGTGTGTGTATGTGTGGTATTTCGAGAACGAAACGAAATGCAGATTGAACGTTGTGTTCCATCCTTACGCCTCGGGGGAGGGAAGTGATCTTATTCTCCAGAGTTTCAGAGGCGATTACAACGCGAGTCAAGCTCGAATTACTCAACAATGGCCGGAAAGAAAGATTGAAGACGATGAGCTCTGTTTTTCCCCGCTTTCAACTCAACCGTAGCCGACTTCCTGACAAAATTACTTTTCTGCCCTCAAGTCGTTAAACCGAAAGGGGAGGACGACGTGGTCTATTTCCTTGGAACCTTCTTCTTCGTCTCAAGGCTTCGGAAGCCTCTCCCTGAGTTGAAAGTTTCCCCTGTTCGAGCATCTTTTTTTTTTTGATGCATCTGTTCGAGCATCTTCTCCATTCATGCTCAGACACCGATCATACATACATACATACATACATACATACATACATACATACATACATACATACATACATACATACATACATACATACATACATACATACATACATACATACATACATACATACATACATACATACATACATACATACATACATACATACATACATACATACATACATACATACATACATACATACATACATACATACATACATACATACATACATACATACATACATACATACATACATACGTACGTACGTACATACATACATACATGCATACATAGTTAAACCCGATCATCACATTCTACAATTTTTTATTCCTTTAAAAAAAGGAAAGATAACGATGCCACAAATCCTAAAGGGAAGCCATGAAATGAGTCGGTGCAGTCCATATGGGACAGTATGTCACGTAAAGTGCGAACCAAACGTGGCTTAGACAGAAAAGATCTGATTACAAATGTCTCCAATCAATATATATATATATATATATATAAGTATGGTAGTTTTAAACCAAAAAAAAAGTATGGTAGTTTAATTTGTTTCAATGATTATATGAGCTCTCCCTTTTTTTTTCTTTTCGGCGTTTTTCACGTTCTTATGCAAACGCCCTATGAGTTCCCGGGCTTGGATTTCATAATTTCAATTCACATTAAAATTAAATACGATATATCGAGGCCGATTCTCGTATATAATAAAACGCGAATAATCACGTCGGTGGAGGGAAAAACAGAGGAAATAAGTTTTTTTTTTTTTATAAAAAAAAACATATATAATTGCAGTCATTCTTTTAACAATTGGCTAAAAAGAGAGAAAAAAAAACCCTAAAACCAAAGTAAAAGAATATCAATGGTCGGTGTAGTTTCGAGAAGATCTTTTTAGAATGGTTTATTTGATGTTTTGGTTTTTGTTTCGAAATTTCGAGGAGATGCTTTCGGATATGCTCCTACGGCCAACATATATATATATATACACACACACACACGTATATGATTAAAAAAATAGATTTCAATAGACACATAATTCATCCCTGTTAAAAAATATTTAATTTAAAAAATATATATTTTCGGATATAAAATATTATAACCAAATTGACTTCTTGAGCGATTTTATTCAAATATAACTATAGATTATTTGGAATGATTTCATTAATACCAATTTGCAAAAATGTATGAATGAATTAGGTACCAACGATCGTATTGCTTGCACTACAAATATATGTATGTATGTATGTATGTATGTATGTATGTATGTATGTATGTATGTATGTATGTATGTATGTATGTGCACCTAAAGGCATGCATATATTAATCACATATAGAAAGGCAAATCGTAAAGGCGATTCTCTTTTTTTTTTCAAGAAAAAGAAAAGATAAATTAAAGAGAGAGAAAAAAAAAAAAAAAAGCTGATTCTCATTCATCTTTCCTCCTTGGGTTGGGATTGATCAACAGACAGATTCTCTTTTCATGCTTTCTATATACATATACATATATATATATATATTAATACTATCTATATATATAGAAAACGATCCCTCGTTTAATCGAATATAGAATCCAATTATTATCTACAGGTTATTTGTTAAATAAAGTTATCGTTTATAATCTATGAATATGGAATCCGCTGCTCCTTTACTAAAAAAAGAAATCTTATTCCTCTTTTCCTTTTAAATTTTATTCCAAAATTAATTCATTAATTTCCATCGTTATTTGTTTAGTGTGAGACAGCCGCAGTGCCAATTCTATTTCAAACTAAAAATTCAATATAAAATCTAACATGAATAACCACTTTGACTCAGCAATTTTAATAACACACATAATGCATAATTAATTAAGTTTATCCCTCGAATTAACACTGTAACACACGAATCGAGAATGTCTAGATTTCATCGAGGGGAATCTAATTGGATTAGATCAAAAGAATTCTACACTAAAAAAAAGATTAATAATATGGAAAATTTTATTTTTAATTATTATAAATATAATATATTAATAAGGAAACAATGAAAATGCATGGGAATTCCACTAACCATCCACTTCCATGGGCATTTCCGCGAATCAATGCAAAGTCATTCATTTATTCCCAACTTGTCAATAATTATTTCCCTTTTCCCTTAATTCTTTTTAAAAATATATTAAATTTTTTTATTATCTAAAATAAAAACACCTTTAAGAAGTTCTCCCCCCTCTCGCCTTCTTCCTCCTCAAGCTCCACAAGCCCATTTCAATGGCGGAAGCCAATATTCCCAAGAAAAATCTCCACGCGCTCTTGATCCCATACCCGTTCCAAGGCCACGTCAACCCTTGCGTGCACCTGGCGATCAAGCTCGCGTCGCAGGGGATCACAGTCACCTTCGTCAACACCGATTATATCCACCACCAGATCACCTCCAACCCCATCAATGGCTCCTCCTCCGGCGACATCTTCGCCGGGTTCCGGTCGGAATCTGGGCTCGACATTCGGTACGCGACTGTCTCCGACGGTCTACCGATCGGTTTCGACCGGTCCCTGAACCACGACCAGTACCAGGCATCGCTGCTGCACGTGTTCTCTGCCCACGTGGAGGAGCTCGTGGCGAGGCTCGCCGGAGACGGCGACGGCGGAGTGAATGTTCTGATCGCCGACACGTTCTTTGTCTGGCCGTCGGCGATAGCGAGGAAGTTCGGTCTGGTCTATGTGTCGTTTTGGACAGAAGCTGCTTTGGTCTTCTCTCTGTATTACCACATGGATCTTCTTCGTCTTCATGGCCATTTTTGTTCCCAAGGTACATCATCCAATTTTGAAAGTCCTTTTTTTTTTGTCTTCGAAATATTTCCGACAATTGTTTTGAATGTTTATGAATATTACGATTTCGGAAATTACTCGATCACTCCAACCACCAATGGGTTTGATTGATATTTGATACCTTTATTTAAATAACAAACTCATGGGAGTGAATGTTCTGATCGCCGACACGTTCTTTGTCTGGCCGTCGGCGATAGCGAGGAAGTTCGGTCTGGTCTATGTGTCGTTTTGGACAGAAGCTGCTTTGGTCTTCTCTCTGTATTACCACATGGATCTTCTTCGTCTTCATGGCCATTTTTGTTCCCAAGGTACATCATCCAATTTTGAAAGTCCTTTTTTTTTTGTCTTCGAAATATTTCCGACAATTGTTTTGAATGTTTATGAATATTACGATTTCGGAAATTACTCGATCACTCCAACCACCAATGGGTTTGATTGATATTTGATACCTTTATTTAAATAACAATTTCCCCAAAACTATCGCACTTTGAAATGTTATATTTTCTTGGTCAACACCTCTCGAGAGAAAAAAAGAGAGTATATTTTCCCATTATTAAATAACTGAGACCGCATATTCCCATTATACGTGTATGTGTGTGTATATGTGCGCAATACTTGCCAACGCTATAATTATATTATTTAGAAAGAAATGTTTTTATTTTAAATTTGAATTTTTTTATTGGTTATGGAGAATATATTTTTAGTTTTCAATATACCAAAAAGAAATAAAGTAGGTAGGGACTTATTAAATACATTAGGGCTTTTGTCATGTGAATAATGTCAGGTCTGAGCAAATCAACAAATTAGTCCAAACTAGTGGGACCATAAGTTACTCATTTAAACTTTGTTATACAATTTTTTTTTAACAATAATAATTTATAAATAAAAAATGCACGATTCATATCACACGCGAATGCATTAGGCACCACCATCTGTTGAATATTTGCAAAATACTCCTTTGAAATTCGATATTATCTCACATTGTTCCCTTAACTTTTCGCTAGGTCGTCGCAAGGATCTTATCGACTACATCCCCGGGGTCAAAGCCATCGAGCCGAAAGATACGGCGTCGTATCTTCAAGATACCGATACCTCATCCGTCGTTCACCAAATCATTTTCAAAGCTTTCGAAGACGTGAAGAAAGCCGATTTCGTGCTGTGTAACACCATCTACGAATTCGAAGATCGAACAATCCAAGCCCTAAATTCGAAAATCCCGTTCTATGCGATCGGGCCGATCATTCCATTCGGGATCAAGAACAAGACGGTCACCACTAGTTTATGGTCAGAAGCGGATTGCACGCAATGGCTTAACACCAAACCTAAAGGTTCAGTACTATACGTATCATTTGGTAGCTATGCACATGTGACAAAACATGATTTGGTAGAAATAGCAAAAGGGCTATTGCTAAGTAGGGTTAACTTCGTTTGGGTGGTACGGCCCGATATAGTGAGTTCGGAGGAGAATAACCCGCTACCCGACGGGTTTGAGACCGAGGCCGAGAATTTCGGGATAGTGATACCTTGGTGTTGCCAAATGACAGTATTGTCACACCCGAGCATTGGAGGGTTCTTGACACATTGTGGATGGAATTCGATACTCGAAAGCATATGGTGCGAGGTTCCGCTCATATGTTTTCCGCTATTGACGGATCAAGTCACGAATCGGAAACTAGTTGTGGATGATTGGAAGATTGGGATGAACTTATGTGAGGATAGGAGCTTGGTTGCCAAGGAGGAGGTTGCAACGAATATCAGCCGTTTGATGTGTGGAAAATCTAGGGAGGAAGTCAAGGGGGCGATCGGACGGGTGAAAATGAGTTTGGAGAATGCACTGTCACCCACTGGATCGTCTGATCAGAATCTCGGTCTTTTCATTGATGGGCTTATGGATAAGGCCCATAAATCGAACGGACATGTTTGACTCGAAATTCCGAAAACAAAAAAAAAAAAGTAGTGAGAATATTTTGTATCAATTTCTTATTTTTGAAAAAAAAAAATGTTATTTGCGAGGTACGACTTTAATTCACTTTTTGATCTTCATCAATTTTACAACGTACTTTTAACGTTATCTATTTGACATTTTTTGGTAAAATTTGGCCCAAGATGTTCACAAATATATCAATCAAGCAATTTGGTGATCACCAAAATCATGGTAAGATGAGATTCTCAAGGTCGGTTAACCGAACCGGTTTAGACGGAAATTGCAACAAGCAGATGAAAATCTCAACATGTTTACCCCTAACAATGCAGGTAAACCATACAAACGGCAACGAGATGGTTTCAATCAAATTTATTTAAACAACCATTGCCGTAAAAGAATAAAAAAAAAAATAGGTCTCACCTGCTGGTTTGGTAAACCGGGTTTAAACCACCAGACAAAATGCCAAATCCATATAACCAAACCAAACCCACGTTTTGAAAAGATCAAGCATTGGCATTACCTCTTCTTTGAACCGGTTTGTACAGAACCACAGTGACATACTTAGACCTGAACCGATGAGTGAACCCGAGGGCCACGACAGATCTCGGGGCCTCTCGGTTTTCGATGTAAAGATGGTTCAGGACGACGCTGTGAGGAGCAGGCACAGTCTCTGCGCTTGCCGGGAAGCCAACAAGGGACCGAAGAAGGTGTGGAGGGGCGGCTGGAGGTTCTCGGGAGTCGTCTTCAGTTCCCGGGCGTGCATTGTCATAGCTCGAAGCTGGCGAGACAGGAACCTAGAATCCTGCAACCCTTGTGTCCTCCTGAATTGGAAAAGAATCAGAGAACAAGATTGAGAGTGCTAATACACACTGATAGTACTCACCCCATAATAGACTCAACCGATCTCATATTTGGCCGATGTGGAATCCTAACGGATAGATTTCGGGTTTTTATCTGTTTGATTTTCGAGAAACGGGCATGAGGGCTTACATGACTTTGAGCGTATTGGTCGTTCATGCAGAAAAGACTGTGCGGGAAATGCCGTCAAATAGTACGAGGAACAATACCAAACCTGAAACAGAGAGAGTAGAACCATGACTGTTACCAAGAATCAGACAAGAAGTCAGAGCAAAATTACTAAACCCTAATTTCCGTAACTGGCATGCCATTCCGAAGAAACGCTGACCTTTAAAGACCTATAGGCTTCGATTACCGGTTCAACAACGCAGCATCAATCGATGTAACTCTTTATTTGGATACAACAGAGGATTTTCCCAGCGAAATTTCCCAAAATCTGAGAACCCCGCCAGGAAAATTGAAGCATGCCCAGATAAAATCAGAGACGACCTATCAAATCACACGGCAAACGAAAAGTACCCACCTTGCGGAAACCCTAGGAATCTCCGCCAAAACCCGGAATTGAGCAGAGAAATTTAGCCGAGAAAGCTGAATTTCAAGCCACGCGTGAGAACTCCGCAATCGATTACAAAAGGAGCGAAGAAATCTCAGGCTGAAAATGACGGAAGAAAAAGAAAAAATAAGAGAGAGAGCCCAAAAAAAATTCACCAAAGTTTTTTCGGTTATTTGGCCAGTGATTGGTCATGGAACTTCAATCAGATTTCTTCCTCCGCAGTGTCTCTGAACGGCGACGACCTCAGACCGCGACAAAGTACCTTTTGCTTTTGCTTATTCACTCCTTTTCTTTTTCCTTTTTTGTATTTTTTATCTTTTTTTTTTTGGGACAATACTTGTGAAAAACATTTTAACGAACGTTGCATATTTATATAAATATCACTTTTATAAGTGTGGCCCATCCTTTACGTGGGCCGTGGGCCGTACTAAAGTTATGTTTGGGCTTTTATGGGCTTATGGGAATTTAGTGGCCCAAGCATATTTACACAAACCCAATTTCAATTTGTTCACTTCCAAATCCATATATATATATATGGTTGTGTGTGTGTATGGATATTAGGTTAGAGCTACAGAATAAATTGCCCATTGAGTTGGAGTGGATTGATGTGACAGAGTTTCCACGTAACTTGCTTCCGTTCATGGATTCTGAAAGATATTTAATTTCTGTTTTTATTGTTTCTTTAAAGTTTTTTTTTTTAAAAAAGGCAATCGTTTTTTAATGAATATTAAATAGGATAGCCAATAAAAAGACGAAACGTCATCCGTTTTATGGTGGGTTGAAAAAAAAAAGAAGAAATGATGGTGGTTTAAGGAGGGAAAAAAGCCACGTCATCAAAGCCAAGTGGCCAACAAGTTGTTCAGAAAATCTGGACATGTCCACGTCAGATCGTACGGACTTTGGGTCCTTCTCAGGTGATGATGCGAATCTCCCCCTTTTTTTTATATATATATTTTCTTTTTGGTTAAATATGTCTTTTTTTTTTTATAGATTTTGTAAATTAATTGTCGTTTCTTTTGTTAGGTTATAGAAATGCATCAGTTCGGTTGAATATTTAAATATGTTTTAAAAATAACATTTATTGTCATTATGTGTGTTCTTATTTTATTGTTTGCATATGAATACTATGATTTCAGTTAATAATTTATTTATAGAGCAGTTATTGAAATTCAAACCCACTTTAAACAGGACCAAAATGTCCTAGATCACCAAATTCGTCTATGACAGCTAATCAGTAGGATTTTTCACGTAAACGAATTTGTATAGTTTTTTCAATGACCTTTACTTTTTTTTACAATAAAATATTTCGACCCATTTGGTATAATATATATATATATATAATATACGCACGCCAAATATCAATGTACATATAACGGGAAAAAAGAAGAAGATGGACCCATCGAAGAATCTTCACCAACTCAAATAGAAAAATACTAATCTATACGGTCATCATATAGATTAATCATTAAAACAAATATAAAAAAAATGCACACAAAACGATAGGGACATATTGTTATAATATGAAAATTCGAATTAAAAACCCTAAGTTCCAGAGAGGCACGTTCATAAACCAAGAACCAAGTACCGACCCACCGTGTTTCATTTGTCTATTTCTGGGCTAAAATTTTAAAGCATATCACATAAAACCGAATAATTTAAATAATTTTTCTTCTTATCTACAAATTAAATCTGCACAGCTGTGTTTCTTAAATATTTATTATTCGATCTACCTTGTACAACCAAATTTATTTGTTTTTTGTACGATGAACTCTACATCGATGATATATTAAATAAGAATTCGAAACATTGTCATGTCGATGATTGAGAAAAAAAAATATATATCATACGGACTACCATCCATAGATTAAAAATATCGCTAAAAGATGTTTGGCTTTGATTAAGATTCTTTTAATATTCTTTTATGATAATAATAATAATATTTGATAAAAGTATCTCACCTTTTCATATTCAAATAATTCGAACTTAAAATCGGATAAAAAAATCTATATAGATCGGAATTTGAATTGGAATTTGGAAATTTCAAACACTCGAGTATATGCATGCGAATATCCAAATATATATATTTATATTCAAATATGTTCCTACCATCATATAATATGATAATCTAGGATAATGTTAAGGTAGTTATACATATAGGACATGGTTTGTTTTTGGCCGGTCATATAATGTGGCATGTGTTAGGTGGAATCACAAAATAATTTTGTTACGGTTCGGTCTATGTGGGTATTAGTTTTGGTTTTTTCACATGTGACAGAACACTTTAGACATGTTACACAACAAAACAGCAGAGAATACAACTCATTTGCCCAACTCTGGTTACACATTCAGCCAATCAAAACACGAATCAACTATATATATATATATATATATATATATATATGCATGTATACAGAAACCCAAACAATATTTAATTGTTACATATCTATGCGTTTATGTACTCACTCAACTCTATATATATTATATACATCAATGCTCTCTCTCTCTCTCTCTCTGTGTTTAGCTCTCTCACAAGGTTTTTGGTCCGTGCGTGTCTTCGGACCTGGTTCTTCCAAAAACGAAGATCAAATTTCTTAATTTATATATTCTTTGCATTTTTTTAATTGCTTTTCCAAGGAGATGATTTTTTTTTGGGGGGGGGGGGGGGGGGT